CTGGAAATAAACCAGTAATATGAAATCCAAACACAAGAATTGTTCTTCCAAAACAAGAATAATTAGTGGCTATATTTACTACTTTAACATTTTCCCTTTTGTTTTTACTTAAACATAAAACAATTTCTGAACACCTTCAATTGAACTGAACTGATGTACGTGCACATCAACATTAAATGAACATCGAAATAACGTAGATGTACATGTACTTTCAAACAATAGAGAAAAGGAAATATTTAGCATTGTGCATAATACCATCTTCATACATGTAATACATGACTCTTGTACTTCCGCTTGAACATTAACCTTGTTCCTTTTATTTGCATATATCAACCTGTCCGAAGTTTACCTGCATGACTGAAGTCACATTGTGGATTGACTACTAAGCACATGCAAATATCCTTGCCATTTGCACATAAAACTAAATAACATTCCTTACTTCACTTAAACATGTTAATCCTCAATTTAATATAACACAATCTGAACTTCCTTATAATGCTCTACACTGCAGAGTGCAGCCACATATATTTAAATCTTTTCATTCATGTTAATGTTCTGAACACCTAATGAAATGAAATTTCTAACTTTCTATGTGAACAAATACACTGTTTTCAATACACTTTCTCCCTTTAACCCTATTTGAGTTCTCTCTTTCTGGAATGTTTTATATTAACAAAATGTATCTGATTTTAACTCTGAGGCTAATTCAATCATTACCTTGAACAAATTTTTAACATAATATTCTCTTTTAATTATTTGTGTACATGTATGTTCAATCATCCTCAATTTAAACATCCCAATTGTGATAACACAAAGAAATATTGAAACTCAACAAACTTACATATATACATGTACATGTATGAGTATAAAACATCAAATTTCAAAACAAACCTTTCAGTCATGAATAGCATTTCACAGAGTTCAACTTAAACAGTTTGAAAGTTCACTCCTTCGTTCCAGTTCATGTTCATATCCTTTATCGTTCTTGCAAAGACTAAACAATATTAGGTGCTGACTTATCATAATTCAATGTCTTAAATTGACATCCTTTCATGTAAGTGTCCTCTCTTAAAATCGCGTAAAACTTTGCTCTCTTGCAATTCGCGTGTTGACAAAATCATCCTGTGTAAATTCGCGACTTGACATGTTGATCCAATCCAAATTCGCGATTAAACATGTGTTCATCCAATGCAAATTCGCGATTAAACATGTGTTGATCCAATGCAAATTCGCGATTAAACATGTGTTGATCCAATGCAAATTCGCGATTAAACATGTGTTAATCCTGTATTGGCTCATTATCACAAATGATTACCAACTACTAGCCAAAGGGCTATTAATAATTTACTTTTCACTTTAACACTGTAGCGGCTCTAACATTCGCCCTACTTTCACCGTACATTCATGTCTCCTGTATTTTTCCATCACGGTACTTATTTATATTCATTATTCGGACCACGTGTGTTCATTCCTCCAATCGAGCATCGTGGTTCCGCGCAGGTTCCATGACACATGCTCCGCCGACGATTGCTCCGCCGACATTTACTCCGCAAAACGCGACAATTGCTCCGCGACATTTGCTCCGCGACATTTGCTCCGACGTCAAATGCTCCGCCGACAGGTGCTCCGCCGACAGTTGCTCCGCCGACAGTTGCTCCGCTGACAATTGCTCCGCCGACAGATGCTCCGCCGACAATTGCTCCGCCGACAATTGCTCCGCCGACAATTGCTCCGCCGTCAATTGCTCCGCAAAACGCGACAATTGCTCCGCCGACATTTGCTCCGCCAACATTTGCTCCGCCTGAAGCGACACTTGCTCCGCCGACATTTGCTCCGCCGACATTTGCTCCGCCGACATTTGCTCCGCCGACAATTGCTCCGCCGACAATTGCTCCGCCTGAAGCGACAATTGCTCCGGTGACATTTGCTCCGCCGACAATTGCTCCGACGACATTTGCTCCGCCGACAATTGCTCCGCCGAAAATTGCTCCGTCGACAATTGCTCCGCCGACAATTGCTCTGCCTGAAGCGACAACTTTTGCTCCGGTGACATTTGCTCCGCCGACAATTGCTCCGACGACATTTGCTCCGCAAGAAGCGACACTTGCTCCGGTGACATTTGCTCCGACGACATTGGCTCCGCCAAAAAAGTGTCCCATTAAATACAAATGCTACTAGTACTACGACAAATGCTTCGCCGACAATATTTTTTTTTCACGGGTTGTTTTTGTTTCTTTTTTTTTTCTTCATTTTCTGAATGCATTTCATGAAATTATGTAAATGAAATGAAATGAATGAATGTTGATGATGTGGGAGGAAAAAGCAGTTGCCTAAAAGTCATTTCGAATATACTGAAATAACTTTCCATCTATCACTGTACGTCCCACATAATGTACACTAAACACTCATTACATGTCATGGGAAGTTTTTTTTTTTTAAGTAGAGCAGCAAGCCACATTCCCCAATACGCGCATACCTCCTAGTTAATTTCAAACAGCTCATCAATATGTAAGACCTGAAATTACCTCAATGAAAGAAGACTAATAACATGAGAGGAAAGAAAAGAGCAAAGAAGACAACCGTTTTTTGCTATTCCCCATGTTTGATTTAAAAAAATAAAAAATAAAGTTATAGCTCCTTACGCAAGTTCTCCGGCGAAAGATAATTACTCCGCTCAAAATCTGTTTCATGTATTACTCATTAGCTGATCCAAAGCTCAAGGCTATCTCTCTCTCTCTCTTTCTCTCTCTCCCATGCTCCTCCTTTTCCTGTTTACACCGTTTTCCTCTCATGCTATTAGTCTTCTTTCATTTCCATCACTTTTTCTCTGCTCCCCCTCTCGAGTTCTATTTCTCTCGTGAAATTGAAACGTAAAGTAATACAATCATGTAGTACATTCTTGTTTAGAATAATATTTTCAATAATATCCAGTCCATTTTCTAAAGGTTTCTTTCCTTTAGTTAAGTGTATGTAGCTTTAATATATATATATGTTAGTGTGTAAAACACTCCGTTTCATTCGAGTACTTTGTTTTCACTGAATAATTTAAGGGACTCACGAAGCCACTGGAAGAACATCAAACTGCAACAAAATGATTTGTATAAATGTGAATAAGCAGAAAGGCTGCCATCTCATTTTCCCGTCTGAATGGGTTCTCTTCCTTACGTATATAAGTGCCCTTATTTTCTAAACTTCCATGATGACCTAGTACACTGTATAATGCTTTACATAGTAAGATGCATTGATCGAGGTAATTTCAGGTATTACATATTGATGAGCTACTTGAAATTAACTAGGAGGTATGCGCGTATTGGGGAATGTGGCTTGCTGCTCTACTTTTTTTTAAAAACTTCCCACGACATGTAATGAGTGTTTAGTATACATTATATGGGACGTACAGTGATAGATGGAAAGTTATTTCAGTATATTCGAAATGTCTTTTAGGTAACTCCTTTTTTCCTCCCACTTCATCAACATTCATTCATTTCATTTCATCTACATTATTTCAAGAAATGCATTCAGAAAATGAAGAAGAAAAAAAGAAACGAAAAAAATAGGTGTAAAGAAAATATTGTCGGCGAAGCATTTGTCGTAGTACTAGTAGCATTTGTAGTTTATGGGACACTTTTTGGGCGGAGCAAATGTCGTCGGAGCAAATGTCGGCGGAGCAATTGTCACTTCAGGCGGAGCAATTGTCGGCGGAGCAATTGTCGGCGGAGCAAATGTCGGTGGAGCAAAAGTCGGCGGAGCAAATGTCGGCGGAGCAAGTGTCGCTTCAGGCGGAGCAAATGTCGGCGGAGCAAATGTCGGCGGAGCAATTGTCGCGTTTTGCGGAGCAATTGACAGCGGAGCAATTGTCGGCGGAGCAATTGTCGGCGGAGCAATTGTCGGCGGAGCATCTGTCGGCGGAGCAATCGTCGGCGGAGCAACTGTCGGCGGAGCAACTGTCAGCGGAGCAACTGTCGGTGGAGCATTTGACGTCGGAGCAAATGTCGCGGAGCAAATGTCGCGGAGCAATTGTCGCGTTTTGCGGAGTAAATGTCGGCGGAGCAATCGTCGGCGGAGCATGTGTCGGGTTACCTCCGCGCATCGTTCATCCGCGTATTTTCATCACCACGAGGTTTTCTTCTCTCCCGCTTACACCTCGCGGTCGAGTCAACAACTCCTGCTTACATCTCAGTTGAGTCAACACGTCTCTGCATGATTTCCTCTCCGGGCTTGATTCTACTGTGCCTATCACTTCTATCGGCACATCTTCACTTACTCTGCCGTGTTCATCGGGCTGCAGTCTTCCAGTGGAACAGTTAAATCGATCTAGTTCCGACATATATGGTGCTTGGTTATCCGCTGGGAGCTGCCAGTTTCTTCACCGGTAGTCTTTCACTCACATGAGCTCGACTCACCGCAGCTCATCTAAACATTCATCATCAAGTTCGGCTCATCAATCGAGCGACTCACTGCTCAGCACCACTACCGGCTTTGATGTCTGCATTTTCCACTTTGGCCTCCGACATCAAACGACTCACTGTTTCATCGTCGAGCGTCACTTTCTTCTCTTCTCTTCTCGCCCGAGAGCTCCATCTACATTCATCATCATCACGAGAGTATTCCGAATCATTTATTCACCAGACTTCACTTGCAAGTGTTAGTCCATCATATTTATTCTTTAATAAACTAACGAAAAGGGAATACTTTCTTGTATGTATTTTATTGTCAGTGCAACCTTGTTTTCTCGTAGCTAAAATAAAAATAAGAGCTATGTTGTGTGACGAGTGAACACGCTTTCAAATATCCATTCACATTACCTCACACTCTTATCTCTACAACACAAACACAAAATTTCACTGGCCCTCTGAATTCCACTTGTTCGCTTGATCCAAACACAAATTGCTTCATTTGCTTGGTATCCTCCTCCAATAATGATTCAAAGCACATCCATTTAAAGGCACTTTCACATATTATACATGTAGATCCTTTCATAAATTTGAGACAAACTCCATTCAAATTTCCTGCTCCAGTAGAATACACAACTTGGTTACTAGCCTTACTAGCGATGTTATTGCAGTTTTCACTTTCGCTCTGCGGACGAACCCCTTGTTGTCTGGCATAACCTCTTGCACTCGGGCCATGGACCAGGAACATCTGTGCGCTGTTTCGTCTATGACGAGTACAATGTCCCCCACCTGAAGGTTACGACTTGGCTGCAGCCACGTTTGTCGGCGATGTAGAGAAGGCAGGTACTCTCGCACCCACCTCTTCCAGAATAGGTCTGCCAAGTACTGCATCTGTTTCCACCGCTTCTTTGCGTAGATGTCCTTGTCGTCGAAGATCCCTGGAGGTAGCGTCGTTGAACCCTTCATAGTCAGCAAGCTGTTTGGTGAGATTACATCCAGATCATTTGGGTTGTCTGAACATCGGGTAAGAGGCCTACTATTTATGACGGCCTCCACTTCACACATGAATGTATGGAGCTGCTCCTCATTCTGGTAGGACTTTAGATACTGCTCTCTCATGACTGCACACAGTATTTTTCTGACTGTTCTAATTTGGCGTTCCCATACTCCCCCCTGATGGGAAGCAGCAGGAGGATTGAAATGCCATTTCATGCCATGGTTTGCATGAAAGTTGATCAGCTGGTCTTGATTCAGCTCCTTTAATGCCTGCTTCAGTTCCCTTTCAGCTCTTACTAAATTTGTACCATTATCCGAGAACATCTCTTTCATAGGTCCTCGGCGGCTGATGAAGCGACGAATAGCCTCAATACAGGAGCTTGTGTCTAGACTCGATGCAACTTCAATGTGCACCCCTCTGCAGGACAGGCATGTGAAGATTACGCCATATCTTTTCCTTATGCTTCTTCCACACTTTATTTCAAAAGGACCAAAATAGTCCATGCCAACTCTGGTGAACGCCGGCTCGTCACTCTGAACTCGACTTCTTGGAAGTTCTGCCATTTTCTGATGACCAGCCTTTCCTTGGTTCTTTCTACAAATGATGCATTTCCTTGCTATGTTTCGTGCTAAAACTCCAGCTCCTACCACCCAGAATTTCTGTCGTAATTCAGCTACCATGTGATTTTGTCCCTGATGACCAACTCTCCTATGGATGTATTGCATTAAAAGAGTGGTTACATGATACTTCTTTGGTAGGATGTATTGATGTTTAGCACTGCTTGGAATCTGGGCATTCTGCAACCTTCCACCTACTTGAAGTAACCCATTGCTCAATTCTGGATCAAGGTTACTAAGGGTAGAGCGTTTTGGTACTCCTTTCTCTTCTCTGTGACCAGCCAGTCGTTTCATTTCCTCTGGGAATGATTCAAGTTGCAATTGTTTAACAATTGCAACTTCGGCATCTTCAATGTCCTTATTTGTCAGGCTGAACATTTCACTGGAATTGCCATCTATTCCTTTCCCCTTTCCTTGTAGCATTTTCTTGAACTTCAATATCCAGGCAACTCCTCGTTTCAGCTTATCCCAATCAGAATAGTGCGACAGGAGTGCACTTATTGGATCCTCCTTGTTTATCATTGTGGCATGAATGTGAGTCTCATCCAAATCTCCTGACATAGTATCATCAGCTTTCTCCATTCTTGCTGGAGCTTTCACACCCTCAGATGGCCATATTTCTTCAGACTGCTTTAGGAATTCTGGGCCTTCAAACCATTCCCTCTTCTTGGTTAGTTCACTGGCACCCAATCCTCTGGATGCATGATCTGCCGGGTTTAACTTGGTAGGAATGTACTTCCACTGATTTGTCTCTGATCCATCTCGGATGATACTCAGTCTGTTTGTCACAAATACTGGATATCTGGCAGTTTCGTTGGCAATGTATTTCAGAACTGTTTGACTGTCCGTCCAAAATACTGTCTCATCCAACTCCATATTCATTTCCCTCTTGATCATACTGTCTTGCTTTACTGCGAGTGTTGCAGCAGTTAACTCCATCTTAACAATAGTGTGAGGCTTCAGTGGGGCAACCCTGGCTTTGGCTGTCAAAAATGCCACATGAACCTCTTAATTCTCATCTGTCTGTCTCAAGTAGGTCACAACACCATAGCCATCCATGCTAGCATCGGCAAAGTGGTGCAGCTGTCTGTTTGTTACTTTACCAAAGTTCTTTGGTTTTAGACATCTTTCAGTCTTCACCTGGTCAAGATTTTGTAGCTCATTCATCCAAGTTCCCAGTCCATTTTCTGCTTTTCAGGGATTGACTGGTCCCAGTCCAATTTAGCTTGGCACAATTCTTGCAGAATTATCTTAGCCTTCAGAACGAATGGTGCTGCTAGCCCGAAGGGATCATAGACTGAGCTCATTACTGATAGGATGTTTCGGCGAGTAGCCTTTCTTGACATTTCTTTCAGTTTGAAGCCTAACTGGTCATTTTCTGGATCCCATCTCACACCAAGAGCTCGTTCAGTTGGAAGAACTTCCCTTTGTAAGTCCAAATCCTTCAATTCAACGGCATGTTCCTCCTTTGGAATGGAATCTAAGACCTCTCGTCTGTTGCTTGACCATTTGGTTAACTTGAAGCCTCCCTTGGACAACACTAATTGTCTTAATGATTCAGCTAGATCAATGCCTTCTTGGGGTGTTGATACTGACTTCAGAAAATCATCAACGTAAAAGTCTTTCTGTACGGCATCTAGGACTTCTTCCTTTGCACAACCTTCATTGTCCTTTGCTGTTCTTTTCAGGGCATAATTCGAACAACTGGGAGAAGATGTAGCCCCAAAAAGATGGACTAGCTTTCTGTATGCTACTGGCTCTTTGAAGATATCCCCCTTAGGCCACCACAAGTAACGCAGCATGTCGCATTGGTCTGGTGTAACTTTCACCTGATAGAACATAGACTGTATATCTGCCATTATAGCCACTTTCTCTTTCCTCCACCTGAGGAGAACACCAAGTAATCTGTTGGTTAGATCTGGTCCTTGTAGGAGTTCCTGATTAAGAGACTTTCCTTTGTAGCTGATAGGACAATTGAAGTCTACTCTAATCTTTCCTGGCTTTTGGGGATGATACACCCCATGGTGAGGGATATACCATACCTTCCCATCATGTCTGTCCAAGTCTGCTTCTGGAACCTTCTCTGCATAGCCTTGCTTTTCCAGATCATTCATGAATGTGGTGTACTGTTCATGGATTTCCTTGTTCTTTGATAACTTCTGTCCTTGTCTTTCCAGAAATCTTTCAGCTTGGTCCTTGTTGTTAGGCATAGCCACATCTCTCTGCTTTAAGGGCAGATCTATCTGATAATGATTGTCTTTCTTAGTGATAGATTTCTCCATTATGTCCAAGAAATTCTTGTCGTCAACTGACAGGCCCCCTCTGTGATCACTTAGTCTCTCTGTAAATTCCATATTGCAGAAGTCCTTGAATTTCCGTTCTAATTCCTCTTGTCTAGGAATGATGGAAACTTCCTCCTGTTTACAAAAACAGACTTTGTGAATATCTGCTTGCTCTTGAGCTTGTATACCATACACGAGCCAACCTAGCCTTGAGCGGATAGCATATGGTTCCTCGATGTCACCAGCTTTGATTTCTAGAGGCATCGATGCCGACGGAACGTTGGCTCCAATCATGAGAGTTACCCTTGGAATAGAGTTCCTGTTACTTTATTTCGGGCAATTCTATGTCCTTCAGATGTTTCCATCGTTTCAGATCTTTTTGAGTTGGAGCATCTGAAACTGTCACTGGTATACCATCTTTGACATAGATGGGCGGAAGATTGATGAATTCCTTCTCCTTTACTCCTGCGATCTGCAGCTCATCTACAGTGACTTCTGTATCTATCACTTCTTCAAGATTCAATGTCTTGACTATTAGCTTGGTTTTCCTGGTTCTTGCATGCAGCCTTTGGGTAAGTTCTGTGTCACAGAAGACTGTTCCACATCCATTATCTATGAATGCATAAGTTGATATGCATCTGTCATTTCCTTTGTGCTTCACGATGACTGGAACTATCGTCATGCACGTCGATGTCTGGGGTTTTCCTCCAACACTTTTCTTCACATTGGTAGACCCTGAAGAGATCCTTCCAGCTTCACTTTGCACATCGGTAGATGTTGAAGCATCATTGGTGGTTTTCCTTGTATTTCCTTCTCCGTCTTTCATCCACCTGGGATCATGCATTAAAGTGTTGTGCATCCTGTCGTAGACATCACACTTGATCTGACTCTTGCATTCCTTATTCAGATGCTTTGGTTTCAGGCATCGGAAGCAGAGGCCTTTCCTTTTACATTGCTCTGATCTTTCTTCAACTGACAAGGCTTCAAATTTTCGGCACTCGTCAATGACATGCCTCGAGTTGGCACCACAGAAAGTACAACTTGGTTCCCTCTTGTCCTTCTGTTCCTTATCCTGTTGTGTGGCTGTACCAAATGCCTTTGTGCTTCTTGATTTTTGTAGTTTTTCTTTCTCATCTTTATTGTAGGAAGCATTTTTCTCAGTCCTCTGATATCCCAATCCCTGTACCATGGGATCGTTAATGTTTCTTTCAGTCTGTATGACGAACTGTGCAAGATCTTCCAGGGTGGGATTCCTATTAGCAATATCACGAGTCAGGCCTACTCGTGATATCCACTTCTGCTGAAGATACAAGGGTAGTTTGCTTGCCAGAACTCTCAGAAAACTTTCACTATCCATGCCTCCTAAGTCCCCTGCTGCTCTAACATGCGAGCAATTATTGAGGTATATTGCGAATTTTCGCAATCCTTGCCTATCTCCTGATCGTATCTGCTCCCAGGCAATTGCCCTTTCCTTGTATGCATTTGTAGCGGCTCTTACATGCCCTACTTTCACTGTACATTCATGTCTCCTGTATTTTTCCATCACGGTACTTATTTATATTCATTATTCGTACCACGTGTGTTCATTCCTCCAATCGAGCATCGTGGTTCCGCGCATCGTTCACCCGCGTATTTTCATCACCACGAGGTTTTCTTCACTCCCGCCTACACCTCAGTCGAGTCAACAACTCCTGCTTACATCTCAGTTGAGTCAACACGTTTCTGCATGATTTCCTCTCCGGGCTTGATTCTACTGTGCCTATCACTTCTATCGGCACATCTTCACTTTCCCTGCCGTGTTCATCGGGCTGCAGTCTTCCAGTGGAACAGTTAAATCTAGTTCCGACATATATGGTGCTTGGTTATCCGCTGGGAGCTGCCAGTTTCTTCACCGGTAGTCTTTCACTCACATGAGCTCGACTCACCGCAGCTCATCTAAACATTCACCATCAAAGTTCGGCTCATCAATCGAGCGACTCACCGTCTCAGCACCACTACCGGCTTTGATGTCTGCATTTTCTTCTTTGGCCTCCGACATCAAGCGACTCACTGCTTTCGTCATCGAGCGCCACACATCTCTTCTCTTCTCTTCGATCTATTCTCGCCCGAGAGCTCCATCTACATTCATCATCATCACGAGCGTCGGCGACGACATAGCGTTCTTCACGGTTCTTCAACCACGTCAACGAAGTCGCGTTTCCGCCATCAAGCCTCCGCACATTTCATCGCGTGAGCCCCTTCTTTCGTTCTCAACTCTCTTCATCTTCATTGGACTTTCGACTTCATTTCTACTATTGTCGTAAGCTCTATTTATGTACATTGCATTTATTCATGTTCATTATCATCATTGATCATTATGTAATCTCCGTGCAATATTCACATTCACCATTTATGCATTTTCATACCGATTCTTCGGCTTGTGCTTGGCTACACTTTGCAAGTGTACGGCCAGCCTCATCAGTACCCAATAAACTAACGAAAAGGGAATACTTTCTTTTATGCATTTTATTGTCAGTGCAACCTTGTTTCCTCGTAGCTAAAATAAAAATAAGAGTTATGTTGTGTGACGAGTGAACACGCTTTCAAATATCCATTCACAATACCTCACACTCATATCTCTACATTGGTGACCCCGACGTGATACTTGGAAGCTTGGTTGTACGATTTTATTATTCCCTGACTTTTTGGACTTAGCAATGTTTTATACAATGTCTTCATTCTGGATTATGTATTGAATGTTTTTTATGCTTGCATTTATACACGTTTATTCGATGCATACCATGTCAGTACTCACTGTTCTATTTTTGGCAACTAAACAGCCGTTCGCATACCATGCTTGTTGTATTACATTCTTTCAACATGCCATGCTTGTACATTTCCTGGGCTGTTGTAAATTACTGCATACGCTATACAATACATGCACTTTTACATATTTATCAGCCATTGATTCTTGTGACATTTTGTACTTCGCTCCTTTATATCTTTTTCGCCTCTCATCTGTGTATTGCATACACAGCTTCAATTCTGGCAGGGGAGTAATGTAGCGGCTCTTACATGCCCTACTTTCACTGTACATTCATGTCTCCTGTATTTTTCCATCACGGTACTTATTTATATTCATTATTCGTACCACGTGTGTTCATTCCTCCAATCGAGCATCGTGGTTCCGCGCATCGTTCACCCGCGTATTTTCATCACCACGAGGTTTTCTTCACTCCCGCCTACACCTCAGTCGAGTCAACAACTCCTGCTTACATCTCAGTTGAGTCAACACGTTTCTGCATGATTTCCTCTCCGGGCTTGATTCTACTGTGCCTATCACTTCTATCGGCACATCTTCACTTTCCCTGCCGTGTTCATCGGGCTGCAGTCTTCCAGTGGAACAGTTAAATCTAGTTCCGACATATATGGTGCTTGGTTATCCGCTGGGAGCTGCCAGTTTCTTCACCGGTAGTCTTTCACTCACATGAGCTCGACTCACCGCAGCTCATCTAAACATTCACCATCAAAGTTCGGCTCATCAATCGAGCGACTCACCGTCTCAGCACCACTACCGGCTTTGATGTCTGCATTTTCTTCTTTGGCCTCCGACATCAAGCGACTCACTGCTTTCGTCATCGAGCGCCACACATCTCTTCTCTTCTCTTCGATCTATTCTCGCCCGAGAGCTCCATCTACATTCATCATCATCACGAGCGTCGGCGACGACATAGCGTTCTTCACGGTTCTTCAACCACGTCAACGAAGTCGCGTTTCCGCCATCAAGCCTCCGCACATTTCATCGCGTGAGCCCCTTCTTTCGTTCTCAACTCTCTTCATCTTCATTGGACTTTCGACTTCATTTCTACTATTGTCGTAAGCTCTATTTATGTACATTGCATTTATTCATGTTCATTATCATCATTGATCATTATGTAATCTCCGTGCAATATTCACATTCACCATTTATGCATTTTCATACCGATTCTTCGGCTTGTGCTTGGCTACACTTTGCAAGTGTACGGCCAGCCTCATCAGTACCCAATAAACTAACGAAAAGGGAATACTTTCTTTTATGCATTTTATTGTCAGTGCAACCTTGTTTCCTCGTAGCTAAAATAAAAATAAGAGTTATGTTGTGTGACGAGTGAACACGCTTTCAAATATCCATTCACAATACCTCACACTCATATCTCTACACATTTATTATGTTACTCTGCTTTCCATAGTCTCTGTGTAGCATGGACTTGGCTGTCTCATATGCCCTCTTACTTGGTTGTATGTGGGGGCATTCTCGAATAAGCTCATGCGCTTCTCCTCGTGTGTATTTTAGTAGAAGCTCTAGTCTTCTGAAAGGTTCATCAGTTCTTTTTTCAACCACATATTCAAAATTCCTTATAAAGGTAAGGTAATCAAGTGGATCCCCATTGAACGGCTCGAGATCTGGCGATGGTAGACTGTTTTCTGCAGTGAATCTAATCATCTCCCTAAGCATCTGTTTGGTGGCTCCTTCTTCATTGCTCACAGGTTCCTTGCGAAAGGCTTGTTCTTGTCCACGACCACCGACAAAATCACCTCTAACTCGTTCTCGTTCTTGTCCACGATCACGGAAAGAATCACCTCTAACTTGATCTCGTTCTTGTCCACGATCACCGACAACATCATCTCTAACTCGTTCTCGTTCTTGTCCACGATCACGGAAAGAATCACCTATTACTTGTTCTCGTTCTTGTCCACGATCACGGAAAGAGTCACCTCTAACTTGATCTCGTTCTTGTCCATGATCACCGACAAAATCATATCTAACTCGTTCTCGTTCTTGTCCATGATCACCGACAAAATCATCTCTAACTCGTTCTCGTTCTTGTCCACGATTACGGAAAGAGTTACCTCTAACTTGATCTCGTTCTTGTCCATGATCACCGACAAAATCATCTCTAACTCGTTCTCGTTCTTGTCCACGATCACGGAAAGAGTTACCTCTAACTTGATCTCGTTCTTGTCCATGATCACCGACAAAATCACCTCTAACTCGTTCTCGTTCTTGTCCACGATCACGGAAAGAGTCACCTCTAACTTGATCTCGTTCTTGTCCACGATCACGGAAAGAATCACCTTCCACTTTCCATTTCTGTAGCTCTTCCTCTGAGTCTTGTTGTAGAAGCTTCAATTCTGCTTGCAAGAGAATAGCAGTCTTTTGTCTTTCAATCTCCGCTTCTTCATCCTTCAAAAGCTGACTCTTTCTCAAATTCTCAGCCTTTTCTTTTGCAATTCGTATTTCTTGTTCGGCTCGTTCCATTTCATGTTGTTTTTGAAGTGTTCTCAGTTTCTTCTCAAGTTCACTCGTTTGATGTAAGGCTATCAACTTTGCTTTAAGTTGTCTTTCCTTCTTTCTCTCTCTTTCTCTCTTCTTTGCAGTACTGGCAGAAGAGGCCGATGATCCACATAATGACAATGTGGATTCTGAGTCATCTCGATCATCTTTCCCATTCTCTAGATCTCTTTCTCTAGTAAAGCTCCTTGTTGCACCACTCTTCTTATCTTTCACGACATGATCAATATCATTGCCATTGGCATTGCTCAGTTCCTTATCTTTCCCACCTGGGGATTTGGGAGTAGTATTCCCATCCATAATTGCAATTTACTTGATAAACATTCCTTTCAAATCAGCAGTAACGTGTAGAGCTAGAGTCTAGCCGACATTAATTCAAAGTTTCATTTCATTCAGCCGATTTCACTTCTGAGTTTCATTTCATTGAATTACTCACTGTGTCACGTCACGTCTATGGTCACGTCACGTCAGACTTTAGTACTTGTGCGGTGTTCGCGAGTATCACGCCCGGGGGCTTTGCCGTGTCGAATTCCTTCATCCATGCAGTATCCGTTGAAGAATCGACTGTGTTTTACTAATGTAGAGATATCTACATATGATCCTTGAGACAATGTGGTAATTTCATGGTTCTTTGTTTATTAACACTCAACTGAACTGCAATCATTTCCATACACCGGAATGTACAAAGTAGCAATAGTAGTAGTAGTTTAGTAGGTAAAACAAAGTTTTCCTTCCTTGAATCCGTGCCCACATCATATCAAATCTGTAGTTTCCATGTGACAAGCCTAGCTACGTTTGTACAACAAGTCCAGTCAATCTACGGTATCCTCAAAACAAAAACTAAATTCGGCTTCTTATATCTTGATCCTTACAGTAATTACACACAATGTCATTGGCAGACTAAAATATAATAATGAGTCTTGCAGGAATTTCCATCTTGAAAACAAATGTCAAAAGGACGTCAGGATTCGCTGATTGTTTGCTTGGTGTGTCACTACACAGGCACACACCCACACATTCTCATTTTTGCTTTCCGTAACGTGTATTTAAAATTTATTAAATATTGGAACAATACAAATAATTCTTCGAAATACATTTTTTTTCATCATAATAACATAATTCGATTCCCTCAATACAAGTACAATTTACATATAACGATCGATTTTTGTGTGGAATGAAATCAGCTATGATAAGAAAGAAACTATAACCCCTGCCCTTACTACCCAACCCTAACAAAACACCCCCCCCCCCACAAATGCAAAAGAACACATACACAAACACATGCACACACACGCGCACACACACACACACCCACAGCAAAGCGATCCCCTTCACGCACAATCACAACCACCATCGCTGGGGACAAAAATGAAAAAAAAAGTAAGGCAAGGGCTACATTAGGCTTCGATATATATTTTTTCTGCTTGACATTCGAATTTCATGAATGAGATCTCCAACATTGTGGGTCAATTATCGTTTGGTTTAAGCTCCTAATAAGCCAGTTCACGGTTGCAGTCTGAGCATGAGCAGATAAAGGTCATTGCAGAACAAATTCAGAAATACACGGAGACGAAATAATGGATACGTGCTCATGAAAGTTATCACATTATTAATTCCTGCACATTCAGTGCACTCTATGATACACAGGTGGAAGTATTCTTTGAAACGGGGAAACAAAGGCTAATTGATTTATATAGCACCTCCATCGCTGTAGGAGTGATTATTTCAAAATGTACAAAGTGGGACCTCTTCATATTCTGAAGATCTGTGGATATTCGGGGTCATTGCAGTAATGTGCTAACCGTGAACATACTGGTCTATTTTAGTATAAATTTCCTTAGATTTAGATAATAATAAATAAACACATATATAACAATTATAATGAAACTCAGATTCAAAATGTCAAATAAAAAAAATCAGATAGTGACTGGGAAACCAAAGCTTATATCCTCAATCATGTGAGTAGAATTTGTGGTCACAAAGTCACGGTCAAAGGTCATTTCAGGTCAACAAACTTATACTTATGGGGGGGGGGGGGGCTAAAGTATTTACGCCCAGGAACAGCGTAGCAAGCGAAGCGGGTGGAGAGTAAATTGGCGTGGGCTCCAGGGGCAAAGCCCAGGTGGGGGTCAAAGGGCGGAGCCCCCGAAAGCTCAGGGGTTTTAGGCATTTAATTACGGTCAGATGGGCATATTTTGATACCTTATTTGTGACACATGCAGGTCACTAATTGGCTTGGGGTACAGGGGCGAAGCCTTTCAGAAGCTCAGGGATTTTAGGCAATAAATTACGGTCCGAGATGAGCATTTCTGATACCTCATTATTTTGTGACACTGGCAGGTCGCTATTCCTTCTTTCTTTCTTTCCATTTCTCTTTTTCAAAAAAGTGAGTGGAGGAGGGGGGCTCTAGCCCCCCGATTATCGCCGTTCCGCAGGTCCTGACATGTAGGCTTCTTAATAAGCATATTTTTTGCCCGACTGTATACTTGGGAATGAGTCATTGTTCAACAAACACATACAAAAGTTTACATTATAAAAAAGTGAGAAAAAATCCGGAAAATCATTTCATTTCAGCAACATTTGTAAATCACGGGTATCGAATTAGAAGTAAACCACCTTTGAATTTCATTTGGGGAGTCAACTGCCCTCTCAGCCCCCCCCCCCCCCTTTCAGTGCGCCAGTGCCCTAACCCACTCTCACGGCCTGAACCTAACCCTAACACTAACAATGCGTAACTATTCTCTTTCCAGGCTTTTTCTCTACTTTGGGCAGCATCCGGAGAATTACCAAAGCTTGGATTGTGGTTATTCTGGCCATGTATAATAAATTTGTATAATCGTTCAATCGTTCAAAGTAAAGTTTTCACAATGAAGTCTAACTTTGAGACTGTGTGAGAGTGGCTGTAAATCCCTATCCCAATCCCTATCGAGTGCATGCAGTGCAGTGGCAAAGTACCCTAGCCGCTGTATACAGTCAGGATTCATTGGCTAAGCAGTGGCCTCGTTACTTTTATTTTATTTACTTTATTTGAGCCCCCAGGATCAAACCGTGTCGATATGATTTATTAGTGCCCTCATTTTATGAGGCATTAATCCTCATTACTGTCAGTTATGACCTAAGGACGTAGGTCCCCAAGTTGAGTAGGTCCCCAAGACATTGATCTATATTTGCCACACTCCACCCAGGTAAGGTAAATGGGTACCTGGTAGGAATTTATTCCTTGAAACGCAGCGCGCGTAACAGCTGCACTGCTAAAGCCAGGGTAATTATGCTGCATTATTGTAGAGCGTTTAGAGACTTCTGACAAAGTAAGTGTTAGGCGCTATACAAGCACTGTAATTATTATTGGCATAGTAGCACACACATGCTTTAGCAGTCACGCAAAACAAACACTCACAGATTATTATTCAATAAAATCTGAGAATGTGTACTATTATTTAGATCTATTAGGAATAAATCATTGGCAAAATCATTCCATAAATTGGGGTAAAAATAATTATTCCACCATTTTGACCAACAGTGTACATGCATATGCCCCAGACAAACATTGAACCCCCATATGGTGTAGCCCATGTTTGTGATTATTTTTCATATATGTATCTCTATACTTTCTCTATATTTTTCATATACGTATTCATATGTTGACATTTCTCCTCAGCACGATGGGAAATGCATGTAGGCTGCGAACCGAAGAGATGACTGAACCCTCGAGTGATGACACACCAAGTGAAAGGTACAGACATGTTTAGCTGCACTTTAGATACATGTATAAGGCCCCCCCCCCTGAACCCTTGGATTAAAGACCGTCAATACGACTGGGCCAGAGGGGATTAGACTACACAGCGAGGTCACTGACAGGTGGCTATCTCATTAACTCAGCTCTCAACTAACATAAGAAAAAGAGGATCATTGGGGACCAACAGGCACCGATTGGGGAAGTTTTCTATATAGAGGGAGCAATTAGCTACAAGTAGGACACTGGGGCTTTAAGGGTCGTGTGAATTACCCAGTATACCACTTTTATCATTGGACGTACATGCACATGCATGTAGTGCTATAGGATCCGGGATTTGAGGGGTACACAACATATCTGAAGAGCAGGCAAACAAAACAAAGGAAAGCACAGTTACCCCATTCTCTTCAAAATTTTGAAGGAGGACATTTGTGGGTGGTTGAGTAGTTAAAGTATGCCACTTTGACTTGGGTTGCTGGAGGGAGAGGGGGCATTACATGTAGCTAGTTATGCCTCTTCCTCCCAATCTGCCATTGTTATGAACTATAGAGGGTCTATTACATAGCTGTGTACAACGCTATTGTAACTACTTTCTAAAAATCAACCTCGAGCAATGTCAAAAGCCTTATGCGTCACCTATTTCAATGTGTGAACAAGGCAATGAAGTATTATGTAATCCAAACATTTGAGTTTCTTTTTCGAAAGTAGATGTGATCATTCTACTTCTCATGCTATACTACTTTTTATTAATAAAATTGCGTCCGCTCTTGACGACCGCTGTCATACTGTAGGATTATTTTTGGATTTTTCCAAGGCATTTGACACAATTGATCATAACATTTTGTTTTAAAAACTTCAGCATTTTGTTGTCAGGGGTAAGGCGTTGGAGTGGTACAAAAGTTACCTCAGTAGTCGTACATAGTTTGTTTTATTAAATGGGATTGCATCGAGTGTCAAGCCTGTCACGTGCGATGTTCCTTATGGATCTCTTTTAGGGCCTCTACTATTCATAACATATATAAATGACTTCAAATTTTAGTCCGGACTATTGTCATTTATACTATACGCAGATGACTCAAACATATTTTATTCTCATCAGAATCCTCAAATTCTTGTTGAAACTGTAAATTCGGAACTTGAGAATATTGCACAGTGGATTTTTGCGAATAGACTGTCACTGAACTTGGAAAAAAACTAATTTTATATTATTTAGCAATTCAATCTCCGATTTACCTGGAGATATCTATTTCAACAATGTTAAAATTAAGAAAGTAAAATCGACCAAGTTTCTTGGCCTGTTTATCGATGATAAAATGTCCTGGAAATACATACAAATTATTTGTGTTCATTACTATCAAGAAATGCTGGTGTGATATACAAACTGAAACCTGTGTTTCCATCATATGTATTGCAAATGTTGTACTCTACTTTTATGTTGCCTACTTGAACTATGGTATTCTTGCCTGGGGTAGTTCATTGAAACTTCAACTGGACAAACAATCTTGGTTGTTCAAAAAAGAGCAATACGAACAATTTGCAACATACCTATTTGCGATGTTCCTATTCGTAATCACTCGAGCCCTCTTTTTTTTAATACTAAAGTACTGAGAGTTCAGGATATTTTTAATTTACAATTAGGCTGCCTCATGTTTCAGCTGAATAACAACGAACTGCCCCAGGCACTATCTTATTTGTTTAAGAAAAGAAATCAAG